ATCATTATGCAGTTTCTACTTTTTATTATTATTTTTTTAACAGTTGTTAAGAAAAATTTCTTTGTTGCTTGAAATATTTTAAAGAATAAAAAACGGATATATTTGTGAATTTTTTGCAAAAAGTTAGAATTAAACCATTGAAAACTAAGTATCATTAGTTTTTTTCATTGCTTCATCATATCTTATACATTAGAAAGTCGTCGGCTTTAAAAGCAATATTTTCAAGGATTCCAATTAGTTTTCTCACATTTCATATTCAAAGATAATTTTAAGATTTTGTCCAATTCTATCAACGATTTGTATCTACAACTTATAACTATTTGCATCTTTGAATCTAAAACATGTTTTGTATCTTTTCACAGCATGGAAGTCTAGTTGTGACAGAAAGAAAAGAAATCAAACGCTTATACTGAAAATGTCTAATGCTCTTGGACATATGTTGTATGCTGAAAATGAAACATTGATGTGAGAACGTTATTATGAATTTGAAACAATTACTTTTGAAGAGACTGAGTTTTCTAATTCCTTTGGACAAGAATAAATGACTGGTGATTTGCCAAAATTTTGATCATGCATATTAGATGACAAATGAAGCAATAGAAGCTCCATATTCAATCATCAAAAAGATGTTTAAAGAATGAAAGGTGGTTTGAGAGAAACTTTTAGATTTGTTTTTGAAAAACGTGTTTATTGTTTTTAGTAAAACATATGTAGAAAGTCAATAGTATTAGTGATTAATTGAGAAAAAAATTCAATAGGATTAGTTGTAGATTAGAAAAGTGAAGAGCTAGAAAGTCAATAGGATAAGTGGTCAATTAAGAAAAGGAATAGGATTTTATTTCCAGTATATAGGCTGTAAAAAATGAAATGAACATTATTAAAGTGTGGATTTGCTTATGTTTGAAATATGCCGCTATTCTTCTATGATATCCTAGGTTTGAATTTTTATATATGGATTTTCTAGAATTATAGGTTATACATATATTTTACAATGATTATGCACAAAGCATAGTTATGAAAAATGATATTTTAGTTATGTTATATCGAGGTGATTTCTTGGAATATCTCAAAACCAAATTCTGATGAGATGAGAGTGTCAAAATCAGTTAATAAATACACCATCTCGAGATTCTTTTTCTATGTTCTTTTAGTGTGATTGTGCGCGGTTTGTTAAAGATAACATATGTAAACATCAATGCAATGTTTTGATATGCAAAGGACACCAAGGAGTAATATAGGAGTAAACATCAGTTGGTTGAACTTTACTTCACACTAATCACAAAGAGATGTGAACCAAGTCAAGAAGTGTGGCCATTCCATCTTTTTGTCCCCGCGGCAAAGTGACTTTCTCCCTCCGTTTGCATGGGTGGGTCGTCTTACTCTATCATCCCACTGATACCTTTGCCTTTGTCACTAGGTTTGTCGAAATTTCGCTATGAAATCCGGATCTTTTCTGCAGTATGGAAGATGATGACAATGTTCGTTACAATGATCAGACTTGACGCCAAAACTGTCACCATACCACCCAGATTAAACTTCAAAGCGGTTGTAACCAGATACACAAGAATTTGAACCAGTTTGCGATCATCCACAACTAAAGCTAGCTCCGTCTTACAATCATATGCTTTCAAGAAAAATAAGATATTTAGGCCCCAATCTAAATCTGGAAAATCTCCTCGTTCTCTAGAGTAACTTCACGGATATTGGATTCCTCGCTCTGCACTTCCACCTTTCCCCAATGCTTAATTGCCTCCAACTCTGATGTAATGTCTAAGAGAAAAATACATCGAACACAATGGTGTATCATCTATATCCCAAGCTATGCGTAGTATTTTGCTTATAAGCCCTAAAGTTCCAGCAGCTTTTGGATCTGGATGGATCTTGCTTGCATGGGAATTAAACTTGACCAGGCGCTCGGCTCCAATACTGTCCTTGGCTTTCTGTTGCGGTTGATGTTCACCAGCCAAGCTGAGCTCCATCTGTTATTTGATAGCAGCTGCTACGATTATAGTTGTGAATCCCAAAACTCACAATGTACGGTCTTCCGGAGGCTTCTCTAAGAATTAAGCCCATGGAGCTGCTGGAATGATGTAGCGTATACCACGAGCAGAAGAACGATATGCATGCCAATGTGAAGGCCCAAACCTCATGTTGCATATCAGAGAGATACAACGACCGTTAATGCTTGAGAAAGGTAAGTCAAAGGGTGGATGAGAGCAGAGAATAGTGGGAGTAGTAAATAGTCATGCATCTGAAGTAAACGGTGAGGGCTGTGACGGCCAATATTTTCGACAGTTTGAGAGGGGTAATACGATTATCGATGACTTTAAAGACAGGACGCAAACCTGGTTGGCTTTCTGACAACACAAGAAGTAATCCGATCAAGAATGGGCACAGGGAATTATATGCTGCAAATTCTGCCATACACCATGTACCCCATAAGATAAGGAATGGACCCCCTGGATGATCTCTGAGGCACATTCCACAACTGATACGGCGCTTCGAAGATCCCGGATAGCAGGAGCAATGACAAATAGTACCATGCAACATTCATAACCTTATCGAGAACAGGCATGAGTTCGACTCTTGTGCACAGCATGATCCTCACGATGTATGCACCCGACTGCACTTCCAGCGTTCGAATGATTGCTTGCAGAACGTAGCACCCAAAGCGTTTTGAAACGAGGGGAGTGTATATAGAAGCAATGTATTGAAAAGTTCTACCATGCACCAAGCACCAAGCCGATGAAGTTTCCTAAAACAACCGACCCTTCCCATTTTGACCCTTGCTGCGTTGGACATATAAAGAGGAAAGACAGCGACATGTTCTTCAGATATGGACGAGGCAAAAGCGTACATCACCAAGTCCCAACCGATGACCACTAGAATGACCTCAGCATTGGCAATCAGCCTCATTGGCCAAAACATGTGAGTTCCTTTCCATAAGAAGGACAAAATCTTAAAAAATTAATTACTCAAAAATCCCCACAATCTCTTTGTGGCCGGAGAGTTATGGTTCACTAGTGGAGGTGGACTGCCCTCCACAATCTCCTCACCCTTCTCAAGCTGCTGAGTGTCACTCACCCTCCCTTCAAAACTGCCTGAGTCTCCTGTGCTGCATCACTAGCTCTGGTCGTAGCACTACCTACCGAGAAATCTGCTGCTTTTCTCCTTCTATTCCTATGCCTACCATTTCCTTAACCCTTCTCCGTCTTAGTACCCAATTGCAGGCCTCCTTACGAAACACGCTCAAAAGATGTGGATGAAGATCCCCTACCAATTCGAAATTCTCTGCATATGATTTGTAGATCACCCTGTGCACCTTTGTACTGGATGAGATAGATCGACTGCTGCGGATGTTTGCTTCTCACAACCTCATGTTACTGTCTCTGAACACTAGCGCTGCAGTATACCCCAATTCGAGCTGCTGCATAACTGCACCGGCATACGGCGAGGCTTGCGAGCTTGGAATATCCAAGCTACCATTCTCGACTAAGGTCGAAGAGAGGAATCACTTGTTTCATTGTGTACTTTGAGGTCTCTGAGCAAAACCAGAGGACTGTGACTCTCAGGATTGAGATCTTGCCCGCCCGTAGGCCTCCATGAAGCTCAAATGCCTTAGAGTACATTGATATCGTGCCGATGTATAAAGAAAAAGCCAGCAGATGCAGTTTTACCATAAGCTACGGCTACATGGCTCGTGGTACCGAGTAAAGTGGAATCAAGTTTGAAGCGAACTGTAGAAATTTCAAAAAGAAAGCGCGGGCTTCTATACGTTTTCGGTTTATTCTAGAGCCCGAGTAGTGCAAATGTCGTAACTGCTCTCAACTATGACGCGCTGATGGTATCGGAGGTTGGCAGTATGAAGCCAGTGTCAACAAAATTCGACAAAGGCTTGCTTGAAACTTGAATTTTCCTTCATGACCCGATGGAGCTCAATTTTGAATTTAGGCGTCTAGTCTGCTGTCAGCAGTCTCGACGATAGATAGCTTCACACAAGTTTCGAGGCGTACTTGGCGAATCTATGAGCTTTGCTCGAAAGGCGAGCTTTGCATTGACACGGTTTGCATGATAACGGGGAATGAGAGATTGAGGCGTTACAGTGCAGGCTCGCAACAGTTTGAAATATGACTATCAAATAGATGGAATGCTATCGAGAATGAAGTTTCAGTACTATTGTGCATTAGACCTTCTATGCATTAGACTGGACATATTTCCATCAGAAGGCCCAAAATGAAAGGAATACGTGCACTTTAGTAGTTTCAACATGAGCAACAAACTATTGACAATCAATGTTCTTAACAACCTTGACCGTGGCCAGCAAGGCTGATCGCCCTGTCAGTAATCCATTGACAACTTCGAAAGAAAGATGAGTTCATGTCTATGAGTGAAATGGATGTCATTATTGGAAGGCAGCATATCGAGAGATTATACAGAGAGCATTAATTACTGCAAATCTCTGCATGACTTGCTTTATCTATGACCTAATTCTCTACAACAACAAGAACCTCATAATGACCAGACCGTCTAAACGCACGAATAGCAGCACATAAACTTGAAAATCGACTATCTGATTGCTTGGGCTAACTTCAGCAAGAGAGGTGAGATTTCTCTATTTCCTACCATTTAAGCTTCTCCATGGTTCTGTACGGGTCTTCTACAGCGGTGGACTACACCTCCTTTTAAAGCCGAAGCTGTTAGTTCTACGTTTTCCATTTCTTTCATGCCCAGCAAACCGTATAGTATATTGTATCACGTGCGTTCGAAAGATCTTACGAACCGTGCATCTGCACTCGTTGATATCAGTTCCACCTGGCTTGGCGAAATAGATATGCGCAATGGATTATCAGAAACCTGTTTATTTTACCCAGTCAGATGCAAGGAGCGACTGAAGGCCAAATTGAATATCGATCACACAAGTAGTGTACAAATGTGAAACTTTTTTTCATGCTTCGATTGTTGAGCTGCGAGCTTGATGCTGTGCAGATACAACTCCAGTCTTAGACAGAAGAAGTTCCAGCTCTAGTGTTCGCCATCCTGGATTGTTCAGCATCACGAATGGCATCCCTCTCTGCATCTCGCTTCCACTTCAAGCGCAGCACGAGCAGTGCTACTAGCACAAAGCCCCAGTACAGGAAATACGATGTCAACGTCCCGACTGTGGCCTCATCTCTCCATCCCACCACGGCGTTCAGCAGTTTCCAGATGCCGTCATCATCTTCGTGACAGCAATGCAGCTGCCACACAAAGTCCTCGTTCTCCGTGTACTCCTCGAACTCATGCACGGATCCGGAGAAAAGCCCAGCTGCGATCACCAGCAGGAGCACCGTCGACGCTCCCAAAAACCACTTGAACGCCACGTGATTTCCTCCCTTGTAAAGAAGAAACCCAACCAGAATTCCGCAAGCGGCGCCCGTGACTGCAGCCAGAGGGTAAGCCGTGCCCGAGCCTTCGAGGCCGATGCCCCCCAGGAAGATGACGGCCTCCACGCCCTCGCGGACCACCACCGTGAACGGGATCAGGAAGAGCGCGTACTTGCTCTTCTTGCTCTGAAGCTCGCCACTCGCATGCTTCTCCACCGAGTCCGTCGTCACTTTGGTGAGCTTCTTCTCCCACTTGGCCCTCCAAGTGTCGATCCGGATCATGGAGAATGCCATGAGAGTGATGAGCACCACCGCAATCATGCCCAGAATTCCCTCCCACAGCGACTCCGAGCTGTCCCACGCCTTCTTGGCCACCGTGTAGTAGAGCGATAGGAAAACGGCGGCGGCGCAGAGCGACAGGACCACCCCGGCCACGACTCCTGCCCAGACCTGCTTCTGCATTTTCCGCCTCATGGCCTTGTCGTCGATGATCTTCGTCAGCAACGACATCATCACTGACAGAATGATCGACGCTTCCAGCGTCTCTCGGAAGAGAATAAAAAAGGCAGGGACGCTGAAAACCTGAACCATCTTCGCGTTTCTTCGTCTGATTGAAAATCTGTTCAGAACTAGCTCATGTATGACGAAGGAAATTCCCTCGATATAGCTGATAGTGCTGGAGCTACGAAGGACAGAATCAAAACATGTTGCAGGAGAAGTCAGACACTCTCCCGAAATGAAGTGCGAGAGCTGAGTGAACTCGGAAGGAGAAAACTCGAGAATGAGTCACATTGATGAAGCGGCAGAAGGACACCTTTATAAGTTTCCAGCAATACTGATGACATATGCAGAGACCCGGAGTATGTGCGGGAAGAATATGATATCTGAATCTAAAGTGTGTCTGCTGCCTGCCTGCTAGAGCTCGGCAGACAGCCACCACGTGCCGGACCAGGTACCACCCGTAGATTGTTGCTACCTCCACGACGCACTTATGCTACAGTCCAACTTGAGGTTCACGGCCTCGAGGTTATGTCGATCGCTGGATTAAACGTTCCATTAATTCTTAGTTGCTTGAAGAAAGGTGATAAAAGATCCAGAGCTCCTTGAAACTTTAAAAACCTAACATCGACACCTAGCATCAACCAATGGATATAGGATTCTACCCATCGTAGCCATTTACATAATGATTTGAAAGAGACCGTAGATAAGAGTGAGAAGAAAAATTGCATTGACTCAAACATCAAATCTTACGCTGATGAAGATATATGATTTTCAACGGAGCTTCTAGATTTCATATTTATAAACCTTATTGTTTAATAAGTCGATCTTGAAAGATTCTAAAATTTGTTCGCGGTGATGCGTGCGTAAATCAAATAAAGATTGACCGTTAATGCTTGGTCTGCTTAATGAACAAGCTTCTACTGTTCAAAATTGAACCCTTGGGTGAAATTCCTTGAATTACCCTTCCGTGAAATGGTTTTGAACTCACTACGTGTGGCCTGTCTGGTCCCGGTCCGGCCGGAGAACCCCACCCCAATCATAGCCTTTAGAGGAAAGGACTTTGGACAGTATTCGGACAGTAATCAACTCAGGACAGCTGAGACTATTTCGTTGACTTATATACTAAGGACGTGCGATTAGCTGCAAGATCCCTATTTGTGTCTCAAAGGGGAATCCTGTCTTCCAACTTAATAAAGATCCTGTTATTATGAAGATCAGGATGTCAAAGTTCACACACAATTCCAAAATGCCAGACGAAATGCAGATAGCAGGATTAAAGTGAACTTCAGCTGTCACCTAGTTCTCAAAGTAACAAACATGCATCTCAACGAAAACACAAACTTCGGAACTGTGGATGAGATGCATCACTAGGACTATTGCATGAACAAGAATTTACTATTCTTCTCAGGCTGACGTCATAATTAAAGTGTCCGCATCAACGTTCACATTGGCCAACTCCTCACTCTTGCTTGCTATCGTAGTATTCAGCCCTTCATGTGTGAGAGTATTTTTTTCTGGAACTAGCAGCTCTAAGAACCAAAAAGTTGCGCCGTGATTCCATTTTCGATGACCCAGATTTGCAGAAGCAACGGATTATTTCAAGTGCCCCAGTATCCAGCCAAGTAGAGCCAAGAACAAGAAAGACAACAAGGTTTCGAAGTTGATTCCAATGTTTATTGTATCTCATTTAAGGAATACACAATCTAGAAATGTGTAGTGCTTTGCTTTAGTTGTATTGTGCCTTTAGATTCTGCTCTTTGTTGAGATCGCACTCAATGAAGATGAGGTTTCACTCATTAGACCTTTTGTATCACCCTCTAAGAAGATTTGCTCATGAAATATCATAATTTGGGTTATATTACAGATCTGCATTTAACCGTTCTTTGGAATAGATTGGAAATCAGTGTGAATTTCTTCATTCTCAAAACTTCCTAGTAATGGTCGTAGTATAGAAAGGTAGAAAATAGATTTCTTGCTAAAAAATCACAATCTTTTAAAGTTGTCTAACGTCCGGAGATGATCTGCAGTCACAACATATGATTTCATTGTAATTAACTTACAGTTTGTTTTTTCTTCTTCTATGCATTGAGCATATTTTTGGAGTATATATGTGGAGCATTATAGATGACATTCGTCTGGCTGGATCTTAGAAGGAAATGTCACATATGAGGTGAAATGCGAAACATAAACTAACAGCTGATCTTCACAACTTTGCATGCTATAAGCAACTTGGCATTTAAAAATATAGGCCAAGTTGCTTAAAGTTGAAATTTCTGTTATAAGATATAAGACATTAGTTAAGAGTCACCTATTTTTCCGGAAGATTAAAAAAAGTTCTGTCAATGTAGCTGTTATAATAAATCGAGATAGGAATTTACATATTAGACCCAAAAGCTTACAGAACGAGTTTTAAGCCAACGGGTTGCTACAGCAATGTATGTCCAAATTTCGAAGATCAAGAGTAAGTATCTAAATTGTTAAGAGAAAACGGTGAGAATATGCAGACTTAAAAGAGATGGGACGCAGCCGTCACAGTCAATTAGAATTGGAGTGCGCAGGAGTAATCAATTGAGACTTTGGCGATGTCACCCCCAAAATACTCAGCCAAAGATGAAAGCCATCAAGGAATCTTTCGGAAGAAAATTCAATTCTTATTAAAATCTATTAAAATGACCACTATTAATGTTAAAACTATCACAGATGCGTCACCAGTAAACAAAATAAAATTTTTTCGCACTCAAGTCAAATATCATCTCTTAGCGTGTTTTTGTTACATGTTGTGCATATATGCAGAAAACACAATCAAAAATGATACTCCTAAATACACAATTCAAGAACAATTGCCCCTGGTGTGGGTTTTTTTGTAGTATTTGATGTCCTGCTAGCAGGGAGTGTGGAGAGTGACTCCAGAAAGAGCTTGGGAGAGAGCTGGTCAATCTTTTGTTGCAGGGCAATGGTGGGTCCATGAAAGTATCACCCCTGACTATGTTTTTTGCACAGGAAGTAGAGGAGAAGCAAGAAACACGCTTGCAACTGATACTCGGGTTTGTGTGCAACAAAATTTGTTTTGACAGGTCATATAACCGAGAGAGGCGTCTCTCTCAGTGTGGTGGTTTTAACAAATTGTGTGGTCGTTATAACATTCGCCAAAAAAATTCACTACAGCTATAAATTTCAGTGCTAGTTTGGTATACTCAAAATGATAGGTACATTGAGAGGATCAGAGCAATGGATCGAGCAGCTCAGTCTTCTTTAGGTCGAGCCGATAATTCCAACGATTTGGAAGCGACAGTCATTTGATTAGAATTGGACAACGCGGCATAGGCCAAAGAGGTGTAATACGTGAAGGCTATAAAGGACTAGCTACATAGAACAGCAGAATTAGAAACTCTGCTTCTGGGAAGAGAGAATATCTGAACTTTGCAATAGACTCCATGCTGTAGAAAATCTTTTAGAAAACCTTCCCTTTCTAATTCCCCTAGTCAATGGACTACCTAGTCCATTGACTAAGTAGTCATTGCTTCTGTACCAACTCTCTTAATTCTGTATTATGAAAACTCTCACAATAGATGCAGATGTTTTGTATTATACAAGAACCTGTACTAAGTTCGAAACTCTAACCTCAAAATTTCTGATACTGACGTACTTACGTACGATTGATATGTTGCAACCGGTACATCTGGAACTTCAAATAAATACACCAACAGACATACTGAGCAATGATGAATACACCTCCTCGAAGTTTGACTGACCTTTCACAAATTTGAACAGAATGGCAGGAATGTTTATTATAATATTCTTCATGGCACGAAGAAGTGACAGAAGATCAGATTTCAGATCTACTATGATTTGAACAAGCTTCCCACCACTCTCTATCAACAAAAAGCTGAAGCATTTGCACTAATGGAATATTCTGCAGTGTGTCTCGGATTTCAGTGTCCACTACTCTGACTACATAGTTCATCTATTCCAGTGATAATGAGCATGTATGCGTGATTGGAAGAGCGGCTATGAAGATTTCTACAACTTGATTTTCTAGTAGTGAACCATGTTAAATCTTGTTTCCATTTGCCGTTGGCAAAAAGGTATTGTGCCATTGGACAAATTGTAATACATGCTAGAACCTTGCTTTTACTGCTCATTCGTTCTCAGACGACATTCATATCTGCAGGCTTCTCCACCCTCAACTCCGCAGCATCACGAATGGCATCCCTCTCTGCATCTCGCTTCCACTTCAAGCGCAGCACGAGCAGTGCTACTAGCACAAAGCCCCAGTACAGGAAATACGATGTCAACGTCCCGACTGTGGCCTCATCTCTCCATCCCACCACGGCGTTCAGCAGTTTCCAGATGCCGTCATCATCTTCGTGACAGCAATGCAGCTGCCACACAAAGTCCTCGTTCTCCGTGTACTCCTCGAACTCATGCACGGATCCGGAGAAAAGCCCAGCTGCGATCACCAGCAGGAGCACCGTCGACGCTCCCAAAAACCACTTGAACGCCACGTGATTTCCTCCCTTGTAAAGAAGAAACCCAACCAGAATTCCGCAAGCGGCGCCCGTGACTGCAGCCAGAGGGTAAGCCGTGCCCGAGCCTTCGAGGCCGATGCCCCCCAGGAAGATGACGGCCTCCACGCCCTCGCGGACCACCACCGTGAACGGGATCAGGAAGAGCGCGTACTTGCTCTTCTTGCTCTGAAGCTCGCCACTCGCATGCTTCTCCACCGAGTCCGTCGTCACTTTGGTGAGCTTCTTCTCCCACTTGGCCCTCCAAGTGTCGATCCGGATCATGGAGAATGCCATGAGAGTGATGAGCACCACCGCAATCATGCCCAGAATTCCCTCCCACAGCGACTCCGAGCTGTCCCACGCCTTCTTGGCCACCGTGTAGTAGAGCGATAGGAAAACGGCGGCGGCGCAGAGCGACAGGACCACCCCGGCCACGACTCCTGCCCAGACCTGCTTCTGCATTTTCCGCCTCATGGCCTTGTCGTCGATGATCTTCGTCAGCAACGACATCATCACTGACAGAATGATCGACGCTTCCAGCGTCTCTCGGAAGAGAATAAAAAAGGCAGGGACGCTGAAAAC